CGAGGTAAATTTTTGCGGCCGGAGCTGGTCGTAACCCGAAAAGTTCGTTAACAGAGGAGTTCGTAACCCAAGGTACCACTGTAATTATATTTGTGTATGGCCATGTTTGTTAGTAATAAGCTGGCAACAGAAAGTTGCCCATTCTACTGTATAAGAAAGATATTTCTAAGACTACACATAAACACATATAATAGAAAATAGAATGGCAAAAACACTTGTGAATTAATATATCGTGCTGCATATGTTATTAACATACTTCCTGGAGGAAGGATAAATCCTAGGATTCTCTATACATAACTATGGACAGTTTCTACAATGGCAACAGGAACAATTGAGCAGGAAATATTAGCTTTAATGCCACACTGTATGCCTCACTTTGTATCTTAGTTATCTTTCCCCCAAATAATGTTGAAGTATAACATTGTAGTCATGTATTACAGCTATACCTGCAATAGAATTTCTAGCATCAGATGCAAGCTGTGTCAACTAGTAAACTATCCATTATAGCTTAGATTTATTTTCTATTAGCCTATACTGTAATGTTACTAAATTTCCTCCAAGGGAGCTTTCTCCCCTAATTCCATCTTCCCTTTTCAGGCAAATTGAGCAGGCTCTGGGTACCTGGAGCAAATGAAGTAGATTGTCCATTTACAAAATAGCTGCTGTGGAACAGGTGTCTCTTTCACAATATGTTGCTATTTGACATGCTCTTTGCCATATGACATGACCAGTGACAAAATGCCCATTTAGCAAAAGGCAAACAATACTTTCTGTCAGCCCAGGTTCCCATTTTTTGGGACAGATGTATGTAAGCATATAGATGCATATACTTTCAAGAAGATCTGCAGCCACCCATTTTTTTTCTAAATTAAGTGGGAGGGGAGGCATACTAGAAAATGGAATTGAGGCTATTGTTTTTCTTGGAAGCATGCTATTTTAAAGTTAAAGTCATGTGGAACGGAACTGGCATATTCCAAAGAGGTGTGTGCAGGCACATTGGTGCCAATATGTACCAAAGATGCCAATTGGTGCCAGGTTGGAAACCCTGTATAGTGTAGGCCACTGTATATGTATATTTATGTATATTGTTTTATTGTATTTTAATTAACATTTATTCTTTTTTTTATTGTAAACCACCCAGAGTGGCTCCTTGAATGAGATGGGTGGTGACTAAATTTGAAATATAAATAAATATCTAGCCTAAGATTGTTCTGCAAGTATATTGATGACTGAGAATTCAGTTTAGTATTTTCTGATTTGTCAATTTGTAACGGGATTTTCCTATGGCTTTCTTCTTGATAATTTAGCTGTTCCACAGCAAGTGTTCAAAGATTATAATTATCTAATCTAAAAGCTATTATAAACATGTTTATGTATTATAAATCTTGTAATCAGTTCTCATTCTGTTTGTACTTAAAATAAATAAATTATTCATTCCCAAAGAAATTGATTTGTAATTCTCATACATGGATCTTTTAAAAAAGATGTGCTCAGGTTTTCATATTCCTTTGGAAAAATCAGTTCTTGTATTTGTAGAAAAGCTGGTGGCCCTGTTGAAGTTGGTCCAGAATACGAGAAAGAGCTAAATGACCAAACTGAGAAACTCTTACGGTTATATGGTGGAGGAGACATGAACAAATTTCCAGAGTTCACATTTGAAGGTAAGGTTTTAGAAATGTGTCCATTGTTAATATATAATATGATTATAAAGGTGATAAATCTGAAGATATAGTTTACTGATGGCCACAGTATGATTATAGGCAATAGGTTATGTGCAGCACTTCTGATTCAGAGGCAAAAATGTGCTTCAGAATGCAAGCACCTTTCTACAACTCCTTAAAGCAGCTGTACGTTTTCCTAGGATCACAGAGCTGCCTTCCATAATTGCTACATGATCCCATCAAAAGATGTGTTTGGTTTAAGGAGTTGCAGCACAAGTGCTATGTTCACATCTCTGCATGCTCTAAAATCCCTTTTTTGCTTTCAAATTCAAAGCATTATACAGAGACGAGGTGGTGTTGTTGTGTCTTTGAGTCAGTTTTTGACTCCTGATAACTGCCTAAACTAGTCCTTGCAGTTTTCTTGGAAAGGTTTTTCAGAAGTGGTTTGCCATTACCTCCTTCCTAGGGCCTAAAGAGAGGGACAGGCCCAAAGTTATCCAGCTGGCTTTACGCCTAAGGCAGAATTAAAACTCATGGCCTTCCAGTTTCTAGCCTGGTGCCTTAACCACTATGCCAAACTGGCTCTCTATACAGACCTAGCAGGCAGTATTAATACATTTGAATTTTAAATGTAGTTTAGTGGTTCTAAAAAAACACTGTTCTGAATTCTCTTCAAAACATAACTCAATTACCTGATTGTAGTTTCAGTACATTTATAAAAAATATATCCAAATGTTAACTCTCAGTATAGAATAATGTTGCAGAAACCCATGTTTTCATATTCTTAGCATAGTAATCATAATCTGTTCTGTCTCCAACAATATCTGTACACATTCATACTTGGCATCTTTGTGTTATCGATCTTTTGATCAGGTCAATGTACGGTTTTCTAGTTTGAGATGATACTTTATGGAACTTCCTAAAATTCCTTTCTTTTGTTATTTTAGGTGGTAGCTTGACTGAGAAGCAACTTGGCAAGCTTTACTTTTGCATAACTCAGTTTAAGTGATTTGCAATCTGTAGTTTGAAAAAAAGTGAGGTCCAATGTTGCTTTTTGATCTTGATTACTTGAACATTTTTATGCCATGGCATATCACAAAGCAAATGCTGTAATTATTTGCTCCTATTTGGGAAAAAAATGTGTATCGAACAGTGTGACTTTATTTCTTGCACAGTGGCAATAGATATCAAGATTTGAAGCCTTTTAGAAAACTTTATTTTCAAAATAAACTAACAAGATTTTTTTCCACTCTCAACAGAACCCAAATTTGATGAAGTTCAGAAGTGATGTGATCATGTGTGTACTAAGGGTCAGGCTGGACATGTTGAGTTGGTCTGCAGTTGTAACTTAAATAAACAGTTCAATAGTAACAGTGTGCACTGGTGTTTTGAATTCAGTAACACATGTAGATTCTTACTCATCTAATATGCTTGTATAAGCATATTGCTAAATATTTCATTACAAATTAAAGTCTTTATTTTTCCGATAAGCTGTGTTTCATTATCTCATTAAACATAGTAAAAATTTGGGGAAATAGTTTAAATACTCCACATATTTCAATTATGTAGAATTAGAATGTAACAATATTCTAGATGTCTAATATGGCTTTTATCATATTGTAAACTACTTAAGCAACAGGACTGCTTAAATGATTAAAATCTTATTTTTATGCACATCAGTGATTACTCTTGCTTGGCAGCCTTTTGTGGATTTCACATTTTTGTAGAGTTTTTTAAGGAAATATTTGTTTTTGAATAAATATGAGAGCCATTAAAATGGTAGACAATTTCATCACAAAGTCTGTAATTTGGTGATACTGGCTCCTTAATAAATAATTACTTTAAAGATAATATGCAAGCCTATAGCATGTCAAGGATATTGAAAACTGAATATGCTTTATTGCTAATTTAAAAAGGAATCTATACATTTCTAAAATCTTAACAGAACAGTAAATGATTCCCCTGCTTTCTTAAATGTTGACTTCATTTTGAGAACTCTGAAATATGATCATTTATTTATATATTTTAAAAAATTAAATGGCTGCCAAATCAAAATTTTGAAGGATTTTTAATATACAAGTGAGTTGTTAAAGTATACCTGATGATTCAAGTGTGTATGCATATATCATATTAATTTTTCATAACATTTGTTATACATTTGCTTGAATTTAGATCTAAGCTGTGGTTTTTATTTGTGATTGAAAAAGAATCACAATGCCCTTAGTGCCTGTAGGAGTTGAACTTCATTTTGTATTGCTCTAGCAAAATGCTGGTAGTACTAAATGACTCTGCTTTCTTAGGTGCCTTTATTTTGATTTTAAATTAAAGACTCTGGGAAATGCGCAAAACATGTTGTAAAATATATTGCATTGTTTAACAATTGAAGATAGAAACACCTGAGTAACATGTCAAAAACATTATTTATATATATATTTTTAAAAACCAACAACACTTTCTTGAAGTTTTTCTTCTGAAGCAAAAATATATAAACAGTCTTCATAGACTTTTAAATAATAAAATAAAAATATGAATGGTGGTAAGGAACCATATACTATAGTTTCAATATTGAATATAAAGTTGGAAGCCATCAAAGCACTTAAAAAGTACTTTAAATACTTAAGCAAATGCTTTTAAATAATGTTTTTTGACTCCATCTTACTGCAAGAAAAACCCTAACTTAGAAAGCCCGTTGCTGAGTGGACTTGTATCTTTTTGTCATTTGAGTTGAGAAGCAGCCTTTATCCTCATGTAACCCATATCTTTTTAGCACCCCCAAAGTCATACCATTGGATTGTACGACAATCTGTTTTCTGTGTTTTGGTGGAACCTTTATTTAGGCTTCATTTATTTCAATACACCAGTCCCCACCCTAAATAAAAGTTGAAAGTTCCATCCACTTGCCATGCAAATAAAAAAAAAAAAAAAAAGTGCAGTCCTTTGCCACTGAGAGGTTGCCCAGCTCAGTTCAGTTCTCTGCAGTAGCTTACACATATATTTGAATAAAGTTTACAGACTAAGTAGGAGCAATATTCTTTTACCACTACCTTACTCTGCACTTGATAACTGCTGTTGTCTGGATCTTAGCCCTATAACAACAATAACAAAACATGTTCACCCCAAAAGTCAAATACATGATGCAGATCAATAGTAATTTTCAAATCGATGTTAGAAATATTTCTGCTTCATGTAATCATCTGAGACCAGACGGATTGCAGTTATTTTCCTTCCTTAGCAATGATAGCAGCAGTTTTAGCTGTCTTGACCTCCAGGGAAAGAGCAAAGAATAAGTCCTCCCTGAATGCCCAAACCCCAAACTCTGTCTTGGAGTAAAATGGAAATTGTTTAAGGCTACTTCAGTCACAGAGTTCTTTTCCGAAAAGTGGCTTTATAATTAGCCGCCTTAATCAGGCCAAAGTGCTATGTAATGCAGTATTCTGCTCCTAGTGCTTAATGTTTCCAGCAGCCCCACATGGAGGATTTAAAGGCAGTAGCTTTCTCCTATAGTTTGTCTCCACAAACTAATACTCTATGTAAAAAATGGGAAATAGTATTTACCCATCATAAGTAGTAGCCATCTGTAGTTCTGTTCTAAATGAATTTGTTCAATTTTCATTTCATGCCATCCAAGCCAATAGTCACATATCAATTAGCAAAAATTCCATAAATTAATAATGTGAATACTACTTTTTGTCTGGGATATTTCCTTCCCCCATCTCACCAAAAGACAATGGTGGCTAATGCTGTCAGTGAGGAAACACCAATCTACCCACTTCTTCATAGATTTTATAAAGCATAAAACATAATTTTATAAAGCTTGGTTGTAGTCCCAGTGACTTCCTATTTTTCAGTTCCACAAGCCTCAAACACTGTTGTCTGCTCCTATTTAGGAAATGCCTCAACCCCTTAATAAATTTGTTTGCTCTTTTCCACACATTTTCCTACTCAATAGTACCCTTTTTGAGATGTAATAACCAGAACTATACCATTAGCTCACTATTTCTTTACGTGGGCATGTTAAACAGCAATAAAACCTTTATATTCTGCCAATTATTGCTATTCCTTTTTTTAGAAAGCAACACCAGAGTAACATTTTTGACAGCGTTTTACCACCTTTTTACAATAGAATCTTGAATCTGCCACCAGTTTTTCTTGCACGTAACATTCTTTTTATAGAATAGAGTTCAAACATCTCTGATATTTTCTTCAGCAAATGCTGATCCTCAGAAATCAACTTTCTTTTAAATAACAAAGGACTTGGTGTGCTTGAAATCCTAAAGAGGTAGGAATTAAATAATTAACATAATTCAGACCTGTTCTATTGAAGTTCATACCTCAATATTAGTAAACAACCAGTGATCATACATGTACTCAACACACTTGGAGGATTATGCAGGTATATCGGTATGCTTCTTTATATAATCTTGAAACAAAACAATACTGGCTTGCCTTCTTTCCCCCACTTCTCCCAAATACACTTTGAAGACAAATTATATAATCTCTAAACTATAATAATGTACCTGATGCTATAAAAGCAAATATTCCACTGCTCTACAAATATTAGGAGCACTATTGCTCCTTTCAGTGTTGTAGAAAGTTACTAGTCAGTTCAGAAGCATTGGGGGCACTTCTTACAGTAATCTGGTGCATGCATGTGAACTGGATTTAAATATGATTTAACATGGAAAAGTCTTAAGACACATTGGAGTGAATCTTTAGCTCATGGCTATTGTAACATTTATCACCATTTTCGTGATAAATATTACTAGCATCTCCACATTATCTGCCTAATACCAAATTTTCTCTGTGATCATGTACGAGAGAAAGATTATAACAAAAAAAGTTCATTTTGTAAAGGCAGACTTTCATTTACATCCTCTAGTAAACATAAACAAATTTGCCATGGCTAATATTATTACTGTATACTATGTTATAGCGATCTTATGAGAGGACAAGTATCCAGTGTCAAAAATAAACTGCTGTGGCACCTTCAAAACTAAGAAATGAATTTCTACAGTTTAGACTGGAAATTAGATGCAGCGGTTTTTCTAACAGCTTAATCTATATTAAATATAAAACAATCATTTCAGACATTTTCCCCCCGAAATGCTAGTTTTCATTTCAAGGGAACATTTACATTGGGTAATATTCAAAATTAAGTCCCAACTTTCTTTCCCTACCCCTTCCTTCCCCAGACCCAGCAAAAATATAAGATTCAGTTGACTTGTGCAGTTTTTAGCTACTTTATACTATAGATGTGTGAAACATAATGGATGTAGAACACTCACTTTTTCACTTTCTGTAGCTTTGTACTTGGAACTCTTGTTCCTCCTAGTGAAATTAAAAAAAAAATACATCATTACATCTGAGCACTTCTAGCTAATTAACTCTATGCATCTTATATGTTTCAACTGAATTTCCTTGAACTAAAACCAAAATTTTATTAATAGCCTGGAGAGTGTATACTAATGAAAATATGTTCATGTATAAAGCTAAACCAATCATCAAATTTTAAAATTTGGGACTGAATAATACCTCACTTTTTGTGGCCATAATAATATTAGTAGGTCCAAATCTGACATCAGTTGAACATATTACAGTAGAAATTTGATTTCATATTAAATGCTGTATTTCTCTTTACTGTATCCAAATATACATAACGGGTATATTAGAAATCACCCCCTCTTCAAATATTTTCTAGCTGGGCCAAAAATGTAGAGATTACATTCTTAAAAAGCCAATAGTGTAACTGATGCTACTGATTGTACTCAATTGTTTCCTGAACCCAGTAGAAATTATAGCCACATTAAACATGGAAGTAGACAGAACAGTAACTCTACTTACACTGAAGAATTTCTTTCTAGAAAAACAAGAAGGAAAAAATGCAGTAAGACTAATAAAATGTGATACTGCTTAATTGCAAAGTTTTTAAAAGCTTAACTGTTATAAGTCCATTTGGAATTACATTGAAACATACTGTATTCTCTCATGATCTTACACTTACTTTCATAAACATTTCTTTTTTGTATTTCCCATCAGACTGCAATTACATTTTAATATGACTTACATAGTTGAAAGTACTGTCTTAAGGAATGGGTGTTCTCTATATTAGTTTGCTTTGAGTCTGGCAATTTTTCTCCTAGGGATAGCTCACCTTGGCACATTTCTTAAATAATCTGAAGGGGTTTATTCAACACCTGCTCTTTTATCTAGTTTAGCTTGCTCTGTCATGGAACTATGAGCAGGTACTGCTCTTAGAAAATCCTAATCACAGCTACTTTCTTTTCTAGGTGTTTTATGTGTCTGAATAGAAAAATAAATCTAAAATATTTTTACAGAGTGCTATCAAAATGCTTGAAAATACAAACTCATTTTGATCAATTATGAAAACATTCAAAGCCTTTAATAGGACAACACTTCTTAGAATAAACTACAATATTACAAAATAATGAACATGTTTTCAGAAATTAATTGACATAATCTAGAGAAACATGACACGTGAGAAAGAAAGCAAGATCAGGGCACAGAGATTTTGTTTGTTCCAGTGGAATTAAGACATTGTTAGATCCCCCCTTGACTGCTCCCCCAAAGAATAATGGCTCCATTTTACTGCTAAGAATCCAAATAGTTCTGCTTCTTTTGTGGCTCATTGTTCCTGTAAGAGAAAGGCATGCAGAGAGCAAGAGCTGACCAGCTGTTCTGCTGATACTTAAAAGTGAAGTGAATTTTCTATTAGCAAAATCCTTTGTAAATGGGTGTACTTTTATTGTAACCCAGCAGAGGGAGCTTGCTATTAAAATTCTGCAGAGATTAAACCTGCTGTCTAAACATCAATCTTTGTGCAAAAATCAAGGTACTTCAGCTTTTAAATTGCTAGTATGTATTTATTTGCATTTATAATCCAGAATGTGCCTATTAGAGTTCTGATAATGCTTCAGATTCAGTTCCAAAAAGGTACTTATGTATACCCAGAGGCATATACATAGCAGATATTGATATAGTACTGAATTTAGCAGACATATAATCTTGGGGAAAACAAGATTCTACTCTAAAGATTTGCTTTAAGGTGCTGCAATCATGCTATAAAGGACCTTTTCAGAATCATTTCCCAAGTACTGCACAGTCTTGGGTTCTATACTGTGCATGAGCTGCTTTAGAGTTAAATTTGCAAAAACATGAATCAGTTCTATGATTTTCATAATGTTCTGATAGCCTCAAATATAGAGGGACTAAAATAGCAAATGAGAATATGTTGATGAAGATTCTCAGTCATCCAGGTGGAATTATCTGGAGGTTGAGTCACGGCAACTGGACTTATTTTCTTTTGGTTTGATGAGTTTCGCTGCTTGTCCAAGCAGCTTCTTCAGTCTAGCTTTCTGAAGAAGCTGCTTGGACAAGCAGGAAATGTATCAAACCGAAGGAAACAAGTCCAGTTGCCATGACTCAACCTCCAGATAGCAAATGAGAAGTTTCTTTCCAATGTGAATACTAGCACATTCCTAAAGGGATCTTTATTTATTTATTTTTGTGGAACTGCATTATTCTCTACTCGTGGTTCCTCAATAATAGCAGTAACACAAAGTCTGCTGGAACACATAGAAATGACTCCCAAGCTATCAAAGGTACATTAAATCTAATTGTACTTGATCAATAAGAAAATTATAAATTACATTGCTTCTTCAGCCAGGAAAGGGTTAGTCTTCATATGTGTGTCTGTGTATGTTTTTTTGGGGGGGGGGAGTTGTCAACACCATAACCCAGTACTTTTAGTGTAGGCAGTGCATTCAATGCACATAAAAAATGGGTGGGATTTTGATCACCCAGTTATGCCCACCATTTTGATGCCCCCCACTCCCCTGTGGAGGCTTCTACTTCTCTTGTACTAGTTGTAGCCACAATTCACAAACATGAAGGCAATGAAACATATTAATACTTCAAAGAAGGAGTAAACTTTACTTACTTGAAAAATAACCCTTCTTTTGTGCATAATATACCCCAAGACCACAGGAAGCCATTATTAAGGCCACAATGATCACTGAAGCTATGATAGCACTTACATTAAGGTCATCTAAAATTCAAAACATAGTAGCTATAAATATTGTAGAGGGATGTAATACACAGAGTAATCTAAAGTAAGTAATATTGAGAGAAGGCAACAATCAGGAACATTCACTCTTAAATCAGAATATTAAATAAAATTTTTAGTCATGTTGTTGCATGTAAATAATGAAAGTTCAGCTTTCACTATGATCATGAATTTATTGAGTGGCCTTATCTAGACTTCTTTCTCTGCGTCCTTATCTCCATAATTCTTCAATAAGATAACCACTGAAATTCTTCAATAAAATAACTAAAAATAATTGTTACAAAGATGAATGCAGTAAAGTATGTGAAATCTGAAGTCTGCAGTGAAGTCACTTTGAATGATGCTTTAACTTTTTTCAATTTTCTTCCTTTGCAAACAACTTATACAACTTCCTTTGTGAACAACTTACAGAACTAATTATGTTCTGTAAGAATGAGCCATGAAGATAGCAAGACTACAGGACTCACTATAGTCTCACTTTCTCCAAAAAGGCTTCATTCTTAATGTGACATGCCAAGTGAATGTAGGTGAAAAAAATGTGAGACCAAAATAGGAAAGTGCCACAGCAATAAAGGTAAATGGTCACTATACTAAATAGATAAAATATTATTCCTCTGGCAGTAGCCAATCAATGTTTCCAAGAGATCTAGAATACATGATTGAAAACCTTAGTAGACAGGATAGCATATTCATATATGCATTTATTACTTTTGCCAAATATTTTTTTTTCTGACTTACCTGGGTCTAAATCCGACTGAATTTAACAAAACTTACATCTAAGTACTCCCATATAGCATTGTGCTGTAAAAGAGATATAGCTACCATTGCAATATATCCGGAAGAACCAGGTATATTTTGCTGCTTTAAATATAGCACCAGCCCAACATACAAAGAAAGTATGTTTGACAATGATATCAATGCGGACACTTTCATATGGAAAAAAAGTCTTTGATATCCTGTTCCCATCTCTTATGTACCTTAAAAGGATTTAGATTTCTATTTAAAAATAAATGGTTATAACTTAAGATTTAACAAAATGCAGAACTATGTTCACAATTATCAACATTTAGTTACTCACTTGATCACCATGTTCTGCACCAATTGGTATGTTCAGTATAAAGTTAATATAGTAATGTGTTAACATTAGTGTTCATTGCTCTAAAGTGTTAGTTGATAGAAATTTGGTGTACAAGTCTGAGATCTAAAATGAGATTGGTATTCATGAAATTAAATGTAGGTTTCTTAAAACAATGCCTTTAAAAAAATTAAAAATTGATCCTGGGCATAAATCATATTTGTTGTATAAAGATGACATTTTCATATAAAGATTTTCTGGCCTTATTTGCATTTGACATTTACCAACTTGCATCCTCTTCACAGGACATTTTTGAGGCCGTCCAACTCTATTGTCAGCTTCACAGTAATATTCCCCAGTGTCATTCTTTGAAACGGGATTGAACAGCTAGTTAAAAAAAAAAAAAAAAAAAGATAGCATAGCTCACTATCTGTTAAAAGTCTTCTGAACAGTCAAAACTTACAAATTTCCTATACATCCCTTTGCATTATTTAAATATAAATTCAGAATATGTCAACGTTTTTCAGTCCTGAAAATGGCTAAGTCATCTGGCATCTAATTTAATGAAATAACTACCATTTTTCCATAGGAAACCTAAGCAAAAGATAACAGAAAGCATATCAAATTCTGAAAAGTTGGTGAGGTTGTATCTATCACACTGAGAGATGAGGAGATACCAAGATATGACTGTTATTAATAAAATTTATTTTTGAACCTTCTTTCTTCAGCCATAGGGATGTAAAAACAGCTCTGCTTTATGGCAGAAGTGCCTACCCATTCTGGCTCTCATTTCTTGAAAGTATAAATCAGACATAGAAAGTTAAATATTTGTCATGTGCCAGCTGGTATCATTTTAAAAAAAATGTGCTAACCATGTGAAAATAAAGTGATAAAAATAATATTTAATTAACAGAATGGTGCCAATGAGAACAAGTCCAGAATATAAGCTACAGTTTTTCTATTCAGTTAAGATTACTGTTCTGTAAGAATTCAGCACATGCTCAGTGATGAAGTTTGCATCTTAAGCCTGATGTTTTATCACAGTTCAATGCTCTTGTCAATCTGTTTTAATATACAAGGCCTTGGCCCAGACACTGCTAGTGTTGTCCTCACAGAGGAATGAGATCCAGGATCACAGCTCAGCAAATTTTATCACAAACAGGCCTTTGGAAATAATCCTGTATGCATAGTAGACTTTTGACATAATAAATTAGTAGGCAGAAACTAGTTTGATACCAAAATGAAGAGAAGTTTCCAATGCTCATTTCTGCAGTAATAAAGTGTATAATTTCCAGTTGGCATTCAATAGAATATGTAAAGCCTTTTAAAAATAATTACGTTCCTTTGTGTTGCTCCCATTCTTGCATCAGTCCTTTCCCAATTATTTTATTCACAATATATTAATTTTTTCTCATACTGAGCATGCATATAAAAAAATCTGTATGATGTGAACTGTTTTGACAGTTGGCTCTCCTTTTTTGCTATATAATTCCATTTTGAATTTCCTCAGTGTTGCTATAATATAGTTTCAATTGTTTTGTTGACTGGAAAGTCAAATACTAAGTGTTATTCAAGAAATGTAAACTTACCAAGGTTCCAGTTGTAGTATTCAAAGTATAAGGAACTTTCGCTTTTTTAAACTTCCCAGAAACTGGATTCTCAAGCAAAATAGCACCATTCCGATACCATCTGTATTTTGAAGCTGGCACACCTTCATTTTCTTTGCATCGTAATTCCACTACTGTCCCACTCAGAGCTGAAATAGGCACTTCACAAACAGGAGCAGCTGATGGCACTAGAAAATTATGTCATATATCTAAGGCAAATACCTATATTTCTAAATCTGAATATTTGTTCACAAGTTACTCAAAGTTTGAATGGTATGTGTGGGTGTGTATATACAGTACATACATATGTATCTCTCTCATGATATAAGTACATTAAACTGTTTTATGTCAGACTTCTCACTGGAATTTATGGAAGCCAATATTAGTAGGCCATGAAATTAACTCTTAACAATTTATAATCAATGAAGCAGCAGATGTAATACAATCTTAAATCAGTTAATAACAAAATACCAGTATATCAGTTATGTTTTGCACATGCATTTTCTTCCACAGCATTAAATAACATAAGGGAAAACTGTTCATGGTACCCTACATCTCTACCCTACAAGTAAGTGGGGGTGGGGAGTTGGCACTGAGGCCAGAAAGCATTATTTCTTCATTATGACACCTGCATTCTGGAATAGATTCCCTCTAGAAAGTAGGCTGGTATGCTCTGTAATGGCCCTCTGGAACCTTTTGAAGACTGAAGTCTTCTAGAGGACCTTGGGGAATGATTCTTTGCCATCTATACTTGGTTATTTATTTTTTTATTTATAGCTATTATATTACTAATATGTTCTCATGATATAATGTTACTCTTATTTATTGCACAAAACTTCATTTTAAAATATTGTTGCACATAACTGTGAGTCTAAAAGATTCAGCAGCGTATAAATTTGATATTCTTCTTAAAATTTGAATTCGTTTAAAGTGCCTAACATTTTTGCCATTTTTTCATACCTTTCTCATTTACAGTCATTAATTTAATTATCCCTCACTCAAATAGATACCTTCATTTAACTTAAAAGCTTTTTCATAAAATTGTAATATTCCTGTATCTCATCTGTATCAGACAGCAAATGAAATTTAAAGAAAAATGAACCTGCCCTGCTGAATTAAAATTTAATGTCATTTAAACTTCTGATAAGATAACGTAATTATATTTAATTATATAAACATAATTATAGGTAATATAATTATAAGATAAGAGAGACAGTTTGGTCTAGTGGTTAAGGCACCAGGCTAGAAACCGGGAGACTGTGGCTTCTAGTTCCACCTTAGGCATGAAAGCCGGCTGGGTGACTTTGGGCCAGTTACCCTGTCTCAGCCCAACTCACCTCACATGGTTGTTATTGTGGGGAAAATAGAAGAAGGAAGGAGCATTAGGTATGTTTGCCTCCTTGAGTTATTTATAAAAATAATAAAGGCAGGATTAAAAAAAAATCCTTTAGATTTCTTACCCAATACTAAGAGAGAGACTTCAACTTCCCCTGCTTCTTGTCCTTTTTCTGCAGGTGCACTAATTTCACAACGATACTTTCCAGAATCCTTTCTAGTCACATTTTTAATTTGAATACTTGAGTGCAATATTTCAGCTCGATCTTTAAAATGACCTAAAAAACAATAAAATTGGGAGAGAGAAATGAGAGAGAGAGAGAGAGGGAGGAGGAGGATGACGAGGAGTTGTCGTTGTTGGTCACTAGCTAGAGACTCTGATGACTTCTGTCTGTATATAAGATTGATACAAAACCGGTTTCCTTTCCCAGGATATTATACATATTTGCTTTCCATTCTCAAAGGGCATATTCTTAGTTAATTAGTTAACTAATTAACTAATAAAACATTATTTCAGATTAGCTTTTTAAAAAATCAAATTAGAGCAACTACATTTTCATTTTTCTTTTCCTGCTGCCTGCAGGTTGAGTTACAGTAGCTGTAACAATCTGTTATTTGCTACTCTCCATAGTTCTTCCCACGAAAGTTAGTATTGTCTTTTCAATCCATATTCTTGGTGGGAATGGGAGATAGGATGGAAACAGGAGTGCATTTTATATTTTCACTAAAATCCTCTTAGGGTGAATATTACATCATAGTCTTGCTCCATGGTATCCAGACACATACTACTGCCACCATCACCAAATCCTCTGCATTTCCCTCACTCTTAAAAAGCCCCTCCCCAAATTACCTCCTTATACAATTGCTTAAATCAGGACCCACAAGAACAATCACTTTGAAAGTGGCAGAACATCCTGGACAAGCTTTAATTTAACTGCTGAAGTTGGATTCACATATGTAAGCTGCGTACTTATCTTTTCTGTTTATTCCTCTAAGCACCTGGAAGCATGCAAATAAAAAAAGGTTATATCTGGTTAAGCTCACATTGGTCAGCAGCCATTTCTCCAAATAATCATGATGACAGTTTTATCAGAATAGCTGCTAAAGTCCAAGCTCAATCCAGGACAACCCAATTCAGATTCTCACACAGGCACGAATGCCATGTGGTGACTAACCAATGGTTATCTCTCAGCCTAACCTCTCTCACTAGGTTGTGCTGAGGATAAAATGGGGAAGGGATGTACCTTATTGGAAATCTTGGAAGAAAGGGATAATACAAATATAGAAAATAAAATACACAGATTTATGTGTTCGTTTCTCCAAGTGACCCTTTATTTGGGACAATTAACGTGCTACAAACAGCAAATTAATGCACAAACAACTACAACGTATTTGCTTACCTTCAAAAACACCATTGAAGTAGACAAATGAGATAACAGAGTCTTTAACCTTTTTCCATTCTACCCTTATATCAGTTTCCTTCCTTACATTGTGTTTACAACTCAGAAATGCCCCTATAGGGAAGAGGGAAAAAAGATGGTTGTTTCTGTTCTAGTATAGCATAAAGTGTATAAAAATTGTACAATGCAAACAACTGGCATAACATGGAAACTGATTTCAGTAGGATGATTCTGAATGCCAGTTCACAGATTGCATTTTGAACAGAGATTGGTTATCTAGTATAGCGTACCTTCAGTCTCATAATGTATGAATTACAGTGCAGTAACTTAATACTTGGTATAAGTCCCTTTAAAAATGGTGGGCCCAATCTTTCTTAGACCTTGTTTTAAATTGATACATTTGTCAGACCCTTTATAGTATTTTTTTTTAAATATGTCTACTTCCAAGCATAACAGATAATGTAGGAAAGGATAAGAATAAATCAAAAAGTATAAGCAATTCCAGTAAACCCTCACTTTAACTAAAAGTAGGGAATGGTATCAATTAAAGTAGAAATCTTTGAAATCTAAAAAGGATTTTATGCATATATACTATAAATGGGGAATGGGACAAATTTTGTCCATTGCATCTCAAGTATAGCAATATGAGGTTTACTATGCCAACATGGGGGGGAAACCCTGGCTACCCAGAGAACCAAATTGTGAAATATTTATAAGGGCTATTTCATGCAATCTCACTAAAACCATAATTACTATTCAGTCCCAAAAATAACTATTGGATATTCAAGTAAGGGGGAATTAGGGCAGTGCGAAAGTCTTCACATAGGAAAATATTAATTGAGGGGGACTCAACAGATAAGCTCTTCAGCCTGTAACTATTCCAGGAAATTATTATGTAGTTATCTTCTCTGTCTGTGTGTGTGTATATTAATTTTTCCACTGAATAACTGGTCTTATTTATACAAGAGTAGGAGTAGTGGCAGCAGATATATATTAAAAATTGATCTGTCTTTTATCATCCACTTTCCTAAAATCTGTTGGCATGCATGCCTAAATTTCTCATCTTGCAGAGATGCTCATTTGCAATTTGTATTAGAACTTCTGAATCCAGTTCACTAAGAATACCCATGTCATTTTCCCAAGGCGCTGTTTTAAATAAATGTATACTGATGGGATGTTATATTTTTCTTAGAAAATATAAATAATGTTAGTATAACAGACTTCTGGAGCAAAGTAGTGGAAATGGATAGGCGGTGGCTTTCCTGAAATTTAGTTATCATGAGGGCACAGTATTTTTATCCTTTCAAGACTAAAAGTAATTAATCAAAGCATTTTTTTTTTGTTCTTACAATGTTCTCTTTGTCATATTCCTTTAGTCTTTTTAAAAAATCTATTGTAGTATGCTTGTGTGTGTTTTAATGAGGAATGCTGAAACAGAGAATATCAAATCTATCATTTAACGTGCACATGAATAAGAAACTTCCATCATTTATTTCACATATCTTTACAGAAAATAAAAGTGTTTCAAACTGAGTTTCTCGCTGGTATTTGTTAAGAGAAAAGAATGGGAATTAAACATTTAAATGAAAATTGAGAGGTATTATGTAACATTAAAAACCAACAGAAAATGTTTCTGAAAAATGCAGTGATAAAGAAGCAAAATAAACATATTTTGAGAAGTGCATATTTGGGTGAAGAATTCACAACAAAGATTTGAAGAAGGACAGATGGAAACATTTTTGAGAAAACAGACTATTTAAATAAATATTTAAAAAAAGAATTAAATGATACAAGGTCCAAACATTAAAAATGGTAAGATTTTCCAAATTAATAAAAATAAATTTGAAAGTCTATTTAAAGTAAGCATTGTCCAGACTTCTACTTATTACATTAGCACTGTATTCCTTCATATTATTCCTCCATTTACATATTCCTTTTCATTCCTTTTTGAACTTTCATGTAACAAGATGGAATGTATGTCAAAAGTGTGATTCAGTAATCAGAAGCCCACAGCAAAGCTTGAGTAAGATGCAAACCATGACTATTATAGACAAAGGTCAGGATAGGAGCTTATATTAAAAAGAGAGGGCTTCAATATAACACTTCCAGAGAAGCCAGTATTGTGTATGACTTGGACCTGAAAGAAAAAAAATAACCTGATGTAGGAAATCTTTATGAAATCTTTATCAAATGGCAGCACAAATAGATTTTCATTTAAAAAAAAAAAAGACAAAGGTATCATACGTAAAGAATAATAATCTTTCCACAAAGGCCAGTGTTCTTTATTTGAAGAAGTTGTCACAGGCTAGTTCCTTCTTTGTTCTAACAGCATCTCATCAAGGAGAAATGGTATGGAAAGCGATGACTGTATAAATGATTCCTCCTGATTCTTCTTGACAGTCCACAATAAGTGATCATACACATATGTGCAAGAAATGTTAAATACAGAAAAATTCTTATTCAGAATTTATATGTCAAAATACATCACACAGATCATAGCAATAATTCAAAATTAAGCAAATTCACAAAATTTGGTGAAAATAGGTAAGTTCTCAAATGTTAGAAATCTGTCCATGTTCCTCAATGAGAAAGTCTGTTCAAGACAAGTAGGTTTACTGTAAAATCAGATAACTTAAAACTCTAGAAGAGAACAAAGTATTTGTAAAACTTCTGTACCTCATGGGGATATGGTGCAAACTTCAGAGAACTGAAAAGACAGCTTTCCCTAGATTCCACATCACTGGAGATGACATCTCCATGAATGCAGAACATATATTATATGTGAATTAGAAGAGCCAACAATGGCAGACTTAAAAATCAAACTAAAATATGAATATCACAGGAAGCTAGGGTGGATCAGGAAAAATCACTTTACGAAAATATTCCCATCTACATTTTGTAATATGAGCAAATTAATACCAAAATCCAAAAGGTAAAGGAAACAGATTTAATGGAATTGAGACAGACATAATAGGAAGGAAAGGATGGAAGTTTGGAAGATGGAGAGGAAGCATCAGGTGACTTCCCCAAATATCAACTCACCCCACTGTAATGGATAGTTTAATGTATAATATTATCCTGGGAATATATTTATTTCCATTGTTTTAGAAGGATCTGAACAAACAGTCATTTATCTACTGAAAATTACTTTGAATAGTAATTAAAAAGATATATCCAAGGTTAGTACTATGAATGCTTTCAAATAGATTTAAATACATTTTCAATTTTCTTCTATTAAAATAAACATGGCATAATAAATTTTTGAGTTTAGCTGGATCACCTCTGAGAAAAGCCAAAGAACAATTGAAATGTGTGTACTAGTCAAGCAACTAAATGATTCTGGACAGATATTTTAAGTTTCTACAACCTATTACACTTCAGCGATATGAGCCTTCCTGACCTCCAACCTTGTTTCTGCTTTTCTGAACTTTAATATATCTACTGTAAATAGCTTTATTTTTTTTTCTCAGAAGAGTTATATATACCTAAACATAGACATACTATACCTTCAAATTCTCTTGCTGTAACATGTTCGTTGTCTGACTGCACAGTGATTCCATATGTTTCATAATCTGGAAAAGGAAGGAAGGAAGGAAGGAAGGAAGGAAGGAAGGAAGG